ATCCACATGTTGTTTCTTGGTTGCCCAATACTCCGTCCCATACAACATAGCTGGTCTAATAGCCGTTCTATAAAACTTGTTTTTTAGTCTAGTGGGTATTCGTTTATTACACAATACCCCAGACGCACTTCTCCACTTACACCATCCTGCCTTAATCCTATGGGCCACATCTGCATCAATCTGTCTAGCTGTTGTGATAATCGACCCTAAATAACGAAAATGTTCACTCTTAGGCAGTTCTTGATTCTCAATCTTCACTTCTCCTCTGCTTTCATTGTTACTGTTACTAAATTTACACTCCATGTACTCTGTCTTAGTTCTACTTATCCGAAATCCTTTAGATTCAAGAGCTTTTCTCCAAATCTCCAACTTTGTGTTAACTCCTTCTCTAGTCTCATCCACTAACACAATATCGTCTGCAAAAAGCATACACCATGGCACGTCATCTTGAATATTTATCGTCAACTCCTCTATAACTAAAGCAAAAAGATAAGGACTTAAGGTAGATCCTTGGTGTAACCCTACAGTGATAGGAAATTCATTTGTCTCTCCAACTGGCGATCTAAAAGTGGTCATCACCCCTTCATATATGTCCCTAATCACGTCAATGTAGCCTTTTGTCATCCCTTTCTTCTCTAACACCCACCATATTATATCTCGGGGCATTCTGTCGATAAACACCATATGAATGTCTCTTTTCTTTTCTTTATACTTTTCTATTACTCTCCTCAAAAAATTTGAAAACGACGTCGTTTGGTCTCGGGCCATTCGAGCCGTGTTGATTTCGAGCTACCAATCGCGATTGTTTGTCCATTTGCACTTAGAAATTTCCGTCAAAATATAGTACCTTTTGATTAAGAAGTTGTTTGAAGTGTCCTAAATAAGTGCACGTTTTGATTTTTTGGACTAAGAAGTAGAGGGGAAAAAAAAGAGATTGTTTGGGATAATTTTTTGTCTTTTTATGAAAAAAAATATGTATTAAAATATTATATAAAATAGCAAAATTATGTTTTTACCCTTACATTCTAGACTTATCAATGACAGTGCTGCAAAAGAACTGTACAGAATGATTAAGATGGTGAGAAGAATCTGAACCATATGCATATATAACATGAGGCTTCACGGGTACTGTTGGGCCCGTGGGGGTCCACCACGGGTCCCGTTTTGATAATCCAAACTGTTGAATGTGTAGAACTCGTTGAGTACTGTATGTTTATAAAAAATCACTTTGATTAGATATCGATAGTTATGTGATCAAAACAGTTTTGTATGAAAAAAATGGACGGTGAAAAATAAACGGCTGGAAAAAATCTGATTTGATCACATAGCTGTCAATATCTGATCAATGTGATTTTTTTCAGGCATATAATACTTGACAAATTCTACACATTGAATGTTTTAGATTATCAAAATGGGATCCGTGGTGGGCCTCACGGGCCCAACAGTACCCTTCAACTTAATGAATATATATATATATATATATAATTTTTTTTTGTACCATCACTGCGTAAATTTCTCATCACTTAGCTTTTTGGATTGTACTAATATTGTGGAAATTAAATTTTTTTATATTTTGAAATTGTGAATAGTGATAAATTTTTTGACTTTTTGACTTTTTCTCAACATATCAAACCAGTCCTAAATATTTTTTCATTTTACTGTTTCAATTTTTTTTTACCATGTTTTTATTTGAAAAATGCTATGGATCCCAAGTAAATTACCAAATAAATTATCAAACCTCTTACATGGTGTAGGACTCACACACATGTGATTTGTGTGGGTCCCACACCCATGTGAGAGGTTTGATAATTTGTTTGGAATCCCTAACATAACTCTTTTTATTTTGGAATTAAGATTGTTGATAACAAAATTTTTATAAACGCAAGCTTTATTTTTGTAAAAAATGATATTCGTAATGTTTGAAATATGTTTTTGTGAAATAATTTATACAAATTGTAACAATTTTTTTTGATCATAATTTGTATGTTTAAATTTTTTTTTGCATTTTGCACAACGATTCGGATTAAAAATTTCACAAAGTTTTTCGAAAGTCATAGTGAAACTAAACTTGTCAAATTAAAACTCTTTTCGCCCAATTTGTTGCAAAACTCTTATTTCGATGAAAAATACTAATATAAAACAAAAGTGTGTTGTGGAAATACGCATGTATTTGCAAAATAACACCATTGCTCCAATCTATTTGACCACATTTGTTAACAATTGTTCGTTTTATTATGTTGCATCACTATTTTGCATAATAAAAATTAGCAATTGCCAAGTTTAATAGGAAAATATAACATGATGATTTAAAAGAAAGAAGATTTTATTTAGTAATCTGTAAATAAAAAATAACCTGTTAAAAAAAATTAATCTTTTTTTACCCTCAACGTTTCATAACATGATTTTTTTTTTTCCCCTTTAATAGACAAAAACAGAATGTTTTAAATAATATAATTTACATTTCTCATGTACACACAAACAATCTTGTAATCTACTTCCCATTGTCCCCACCAACAAAGCTACTACGCTTGCGCTCACGCTACCAACGCGCATGCAATAGCCGCCCTCACGTTGGCCATTTCAACGTCTTCATTTCCTGTCATCATTATTTCTCCAATTATTGTCATTGTTATGTGGTCAGGAAGGTTCAACGCTTCGTAGTCCTAAGCATTTTGGATATTTTGGGTTACTTCATCAATGAGGCTATTTCATCTTATAAAATTATGTAAGGTCATTGATGTTGCAGCTAAGGAAACTTGTACTATTTGAAAATCGTATTTCATCATGTTCCTCATGATGCGCCACCTTGGTTTCCACGCCCCAAACGTTCTCTTGATGCAACTATGTAACAACGAGTGTGCCCTATTAAAGCGTTCGTAGTCATCCCATGGCCGTTGGTTGCGATAAGCTGGTTGGTGATACCGGTAGCCGTTGAATGGTGCCAAGAACCCTTTCTAATTATTATACCCACCATCAACCAAGTAGTATTTATCTGCACATAAACAATTATCATACATCACGTAACATTTATATAAAGTAAAGAAATTTACAAAAACTAGTGCATATATATGAAATAATTATTGCATACAATTTTATTAACAATCAACTTTTATCTAGTTCAGGATACGGGAATCGATACACGTCATTACTTATAATGTATTGCAAAACTGTATTGTTGTGCATACCCCCATCCTAGTCACCGGAAACAAAAGTTGAGTATAAATCAAAGTCACAAACTGCAATAATAGCCGCACAAGTTATCACCAAGCAAAGAAAAGATGAAATCAAGAAACACACAAAAGTAAATCTATGAAAAATGCCCAGATGCACACCTTGTTTAGTTAAGTATTTGCAAGGGGAAGAGAAAAAAAGCGAGGTATATGTTAATAAAATATAAACTAATTTTTTTCTTCAATTCCTTTTTCAATTCTAAATTTCTTTTAAAAAAACTTAAGATTTCTATGCGACATTTTTATTTACCGAACAACTGAGAAAAAGGGAAAGTGATGATATACAAGTTTTGTTTTTAAACTCACTTTCTAAATTAAATGATGTGTAAGAAAGTTGATTGACTACTAATTAAAGAAGATACAAGCGAGAAAGTTATCCTAAAAATTCTAATTAATTATCACTTTAATTTAAAAATTAGTTATTTGACATAACTTAAATAAATATACTTTTTGATTTTTTTATTAGAAAAGTAGGTAAAAAAAAAAATGTATGAGATAACTTTTGAGTTTTTTTTTTTTTTTTTTTTTGTAAAAAAAAAACGTAATATAAAATAATAGTTAGTAATGTAAATTTATATTTTACCCCTCCTTTTTTAAAACCCCCCCCCCCCAAAATGCAACAAATGTGGCCTGATGAGACGTAAAGAATTTTTTTTTTAGATTTGGCTTCCCTCTAGTCCGATCACAGACTGAAAGATGCTGTTGAGCCCGAGAGAGTCTACCACAAGTCCCGTTTTGATAATTTGAATAATTCAATGTGTAGAATTTGTTGAGTACTATATGTCTATAAAAAATTGCATTGATCAAATATCGATAACTATTTCATCAAATAAAATTTTTGTCAACCATTTATTTTTTCACCATCCATTTTTTGTTATACAAAACGAATTTGATCATGTAGCTATTGATATCCGATTAACATAATTGTTTATAAGCATATAGTACTCTGTGAATTCTACACATTGAACAGTTCGGATTATCTAATCGGGACCCGTAGTGGACCCTCACGGGCCAATAGCATCCTCCAATCCAATCACAACTGGAGGGTAGCTAATCTTTTTTTTTTTTTTGGTCCTTGTTCCTGTGACAAATGCAGCTTGATGAGACGTGTAAAGAAATTTATTTTGGTTTCAATTTTTAAAATTTAGTTTTCTTTTTTTTAAATTGAGCTTTTTATTTTATTTTTTATTTTTAGTGAATATTTTTAAAATTTTAAGTAATTTTTAAAACTTTTTTAGATGCACCTTACGTAAATGTATCTAAATGACGAAATATTTGTGAAAAAGGCTTTTAGAAAATCAATAAATACACAAAAATATGAAAAATATATTGAATTTATATTTATATATCAAGTGTGTCAAAAAATTTATACACTACAGGAAAAAGGGGTTTAGGCGGCGTTTTTTTAACGACGCATTTTTAAACGTCACTTTTTTTTAACATTTAACGACGTTTTATAAAACGTCGCATATTTGTTTAACAAAACGACACCGTTTAAAAATAGGAGGCGTTTGAAACGCCTCCAAATGTGTTGTGCCTCACGCGCTTGGTCTCCTCTTTTCAAAGCCTAATTTTGAATCTCAGACTCACCTAAGACCCAAATTTTCGAGCTTTCTCTCTCTCTCTCTCTCTCTCTCTCTCTCTCTCTAAATCTCAGAGCGATTTCGAAGCTCCACCACTGTCTCTCTGTCTTTCTCTAAATCTCTCTCTTAACCCTCTCTAAACCCTTATCAGAGCAATTCAGAGATTCATCTCAGTGATTTCATCACAAAGATTCAGAACGATTTCATCTTAGTGATTTCATCGCAGAGATTCAGAGATTCAGATCGGTCTCCACCATCTGCACCATCGTCTCCATCATCATCTACACCATTGTCTCCTAAGGTGAGCTCCACTGTCTCTCTCTTTCTCTCTCTCTGAAGCTCTTCCTTCCCGTCTCTCTCTGTGTTTCAGTGATTGATGAGTTGTATATGCTCTAGTTCGCCCCCAATCCAAGATTGATCCATATGAGGTTAGGGCCCGTGCTAAACAGGTTGTGCAAGATCAGCGCCGTCTGAGGGTTGGTCTTCCAATCTCAGTTTCATCGATTCTTTTCTCTCCTCTCTCTCTCTCTGTCTCCCTCTCTCTCGATCTCTCAATCTCTCTCGATCTCGTCTCTCTCGCACAATCTCATTATCTGCGTACACATTATCTGTAAATTATATTGGTACAGATTATCTCGTACACATTAGCTTCGATTTCCTTTCGAGTAGGCTTTGATCGCACAATCTCAGGCATTTGGATTTGTTCTGCTCTTATTGTGACAACTCCTTTGTTCAAATGCATAATACATAACATATATTGTTTGTTCAAATGCATAATGCATACATAGATATATATACCCCTTTGTCACAGTGCTGTTCAATTCATGGCTGTTATTGTGGTTGATACTGCTATTTATTGTTTGGCTCGATGAATTTTACTTTGGTTTTTCTTCCCATTTGGTCGTCATGGACAAAGAAAAATTTTCGATGCTACTATTATTTTCTGGAAGCAATCTATTAACTGCACAGATTCATAATTAAGAATTTAGTTTGCCAATGTTACCCCAAAAGTTGTGTGAGTTAATGCCTACTAGCTTTATTTGAACTACCTAATAGTTAATAGGATTTAAAGTATGAGGTCCAATGTTTGGTCTAGGAAGAGCTATAAATTGAGTTATATTTTGCATTGTGCTTATCAAGAGGGAAAAGAAAAAACATTTTATGAGATTGTTCTCAAACCAGTATTGCATAGTTTCTTATTGGAACTTTAATGTGCAAGTTTTGGTGTTTCTTGATCTGCAAAAGATGGTTGAGCTATAATTTTTGCTTAATCATTGCCATTTCAGGTGGAAATAGTGCTACTGGAGCAATTGCTGGAGGTGTAGCTGCTGGTGCTGCCTTTATGAATAGCTTTCTTAAGATCACCACTTCCTCAACCAATGGTGGCTGGTGGGGATCCAGCTTGTTAGTTTGAATTCTCTAGTATCCTTGAATTTTTTGTGCTGATAAGTCCATTTTTTATGATGTTAAGCACTGGAAAATACTATCACACCATTCTCGTTCATCTTATATGGTCTTCACTTTGTATTCCACTTGATACAGTGAAGAGCACCTAACCACCTTGGAAAGGGGACTTGCTTAGGTGCAGGGTTGGATGCTTGTTCAGTTTAATGGCGAGGGATATAGCATAAGTTTTTTGTGTCATGTTTGAGGCGCATGTTAAGCAACTGCTTATGATTTGTGTTCCATCTCTTGAATCAGAACTGATCTTGTGGCTGCCATGTCTGTTACGTGATGCTGATTTTTTTTCTGTGAATTAGGCACATCCGTGAATTAGTTTTTTGTGTCATGTTAAGAAACTGCTTATGATTTGTGTTCCTTTATCAGGCACCTCTTCTGGAGGTATGTATACTAATTATGAAAATAAGAAAAATATTATTTATACTGCCATTTGCACACTTAGATTTGTGCAAGTGCAAATTCAATATTGCAGTGAGTTTATGAGCTTTCAATTAGAGCAAAAAATTGATAGAAAATTCATTCAAATAGAATCATCATTCAACATTGTAAGGGAATGGTCATTCTAATGGGATGCTAAGTAATGATTATTCCATTCCATTCTACCTTCATATTCTATTCTTAAGCTACTATTGAAACTAATAGTTTCAATTGATCAAATGCTTTTGTAGTTTGTGATATTAGTTGAAAAGTCCCCATTAACAACTGAGATTCGGATTGCAGGCCCATTGGCTATGCTGCTATTTGCATCAGTAACCTTTGTTTCTGCCTTCTCTCTGTGCCACTGTTACAGATCACCCGGTCCAGGGCCCAAGAGAAATCCCTCCTACCTAGAAGCTGTTCGGACAATTTTAGGTAAGAGTTCTAAGTTAGTTAAAATAAACGATCATCACATCATATCCCTTTTTAAGGAAAGCAATTCTCTTGATATTCCATTTTTCAGCAACAACTCAAATCTTTATTTTATGAAAAGTTGGTGATTAGTGTATTATTTTACTCATTGATAGGCAATTCTTCAGAAATTAATTGATCGCGAAGGTTGAAACAGCTGAAGGGATTCATTGATGGTGTTACTAGCCCGACCAGGCATTGGCTCCTGCCTCAAATTTGTCAAATTTGTTTGGGAGACTCCAAGAGCAGAGATGGTCTAACCAATGGCTTCTGGTGCTGACCTAAATACCATCCTAAATGAGGGAGATTCTCTTAACTGCTAACATTTGTAATGTTTTTCATTTCATTCTTTTTGTCCATTTATTGAAGTTTCACACAAGCTCCAACAGTTGGGTTGGATTCCTGAGCTTATTTTGTCCAGGTTAGGATTCTCTAGAAATACTTGCATAGTACAGATGACCCCATAAGGCTAGATTGACTTGTGTACAATGAGTGAATAGTGCATCATTGGATCGAAAATTCTCTACTCGTGTCTTGGTGTAGTGATGCAGTGCGAACAAAGGAAACACTTAAAACTATGCAAGAGCAAGTGAGAGGATTTTTGGAAGCTGAGGTACATTTCATTTCACGCTTTTATTCAATTGCAGCAATGGATGGACACACACACAGCTGAGCACCTTCAACATGCCATCTGTAAATTTTCAAGGGACGAGATACTTACAGTTATGTGAGTTCTGCTGACTGTAACAGCTTGTTTGGAGTTCCATTTAATAGGTGAGGTATTTGTGTGTATTAAGGGTGCATCTTGATGGCAAATGGAAAAGAAACTCTGGGTGTGTTTTACATAGTATGTCAAATGAATTCACTAAACTTGTATAGTTTTTGTAATTAGTCTAATTAGCTGTGATTTTAAATTTTTATTTAAATTGACATTTCCATATATGGTTTCATTTTTTCAATAGCAACTATCATCTCCATGGGACCTCTGATGACCCTTGTCATGTCTTGACAATAGATGTCTTTTCAATAACAATCTAATTTATTTAGTTTTAGAATGTACTTGTGCAGGAAGCAAGTAAGACTATACAGGTGTAGATACTTATTCTCACTTGTTTTTTCCTTTGTTTTTTCTTATCTCTGTCTTATTAGTTTTTTTTTCTCACATAATTTATATAAGAATATATAAAAAAGTTCATTAAGAATTTTGACAGAAAGTTAAATGTGCAGGTGTATGGGACATAACAGAGGATGGGAGGAGGCAGCCTCAATGTTCTCAGGCACCTCCATAGAGCTGAAGACTTGCAATGCTGCTTTGCTTGAAGCTACTGGGAAATCGTGGGAAGAGGTTAAGCTCATATTTCATGCAATTTGTTTTGACTAGTGACATTATGCATATGTCATTTATCAAGTGTGATTTGAACATGTGCTCTGGCACTTTTAGAAATCTATTCTATGTTTCATTTATGGAGAAATTTGAGAAAATAAATTTTTATCTAGGGATTCGAGTTATCATGCAGCCAAGAGTTTTACACTGTTTAGACATTTATATTGATTCATAACTATAGGTCAGCAAAGAATTTCAGTAGATACAAACCACGTAGAATTTGTGCAATCCACTAAAAGTTGGGGGTGCCTGCCCAAGGAACATGGAATCCGTCTTGCGATTGCATGTTTGATATATTACACTGGTCGTTAGACCCTTTTAAGTGCCATGAATCTGGAGGGTTTTCCTATCAAAAGTTGATTTCAGGAAACAATTGATCATTGGTTTAGGGTTTAGGATTTGGCCACTTGTTAAATTGAATTTTTTGCCCACCGATATTTCTGCTTTATAAATTGTAAACAAAAACTATACAAAACACTCTTGATACAAATTTTTAGAAATGAAAAAAAGAAAATAAAATGACAAGTAGCTCTATCATCTACATCAAACAGTACCAATGGTGGGATGGCAAATTCCAACGTGATGCCGCATATTGTCTAAAAGCATGTGGCCATGTCGTCACTTTATCTCGATTTTTCTTGAAAATTAGAAACATGTTGCATCTCCTATTATTGGATGGGCATGAAAGTGGCCAAATAGTGAACAAAATTTTATTGAATTTTTATTCTTTCGTCACTAATACTTTTGATATACTAGTTAGAATGAAAATTAAATGCCTATTAGACATTTCTGATACCTATGAGTTCATAGTTAATTCATAGTCAATATGGTTTATTCGATTGCTAAAAAACTGTTTGGTGCGATTAATGATTTTAAAAACCACGACTGCGACCCTTCTTCCAATTTTTTTGTTTCATGTGCTTGGTGCATTTGTTTGTCTTACACTTAACACGTCCTTTCTTTCTTTTTCTCATTTTTCAGGTTTGTTAAGGTCTGGGAAAAGTTGTAGACTTCGATGGGTGAATTATCTAATGACTTAGGCCTCGTTTGGGAACATGCTATTTTAGTAATTTTTTAGCTTTTTACAAAAAGATGTGCAGAAAAGTAGAGAGGTGATGTGACTAGTTTTAGTTGGCTTTTTGGCTAAAATAGCCACTCCCCAAACAAGGCCTTATTTTCGTATTGTAGGTATGACATCACAAAGATTCAGAACGATTTCATCTTAGTGATTTCATCGCAGAGATTCAGAGATCAGATCGGTCTCCACCATCTGCACCATCGTCTCCATCATCATCTACACCATTGTCTCCTAAGGTGAGCTCCACTGTCTCTCTCTTTCTCTCTCTCTGAAGCTCTTCCTTCCCGTCTCTCTCTGTGTTTCAGTGATTGATGAGTTGTATATGCTCTAGTTCGCCCCCAATCCAAGATTGATCCATATGAGGTTAGGGCCCGTGCTAAACAGGTTGTGCAAGATCAGCGCCGTCTGAGGGTTGGTCTTCCAATCTCAGTTTCATCGATTCTTTTCTCTCCTCTCTCTCTCTCTGTCTCCCTCTCTCTCGATCTCTCAATCTCTCTCGATCTCGTCTCTCTCGCACAATCTCATTATCTGCGTACACATTATCTGTAAATTATATTTGTACAGATTATCTCGTACACATTAGCTTCGATTTCCTTTCGAGTAGGCTTTGATCGCACAATCTCAGGCATTTGGATTTGTTCTGCTCTTATTGTGGACAACTCCTTTGTTCAAATGCATAATACATAACATATATTGTTTGTCAAATGCATAATGCATACATAGATATATATACCCTTTGTCACAGTGCTGTTCAATTCATGGCTGTTATTGTGGTTGATACTGCTATTTATTGTTTGGCTCGATGAATTTTACTTTGGTTTTTCTTCCATTTGGTCGTCAGGACAAAGAAAAATTTTGATGCTACTATTATTTTCTGGAAGCAATCTATTAACTGCACAGATTCATAATTAAGAATTTAGTTTGCCAATGTTACCCAAAAGTTGTGGAGTTAATGCCTACTAGCTTTATTTGAACTACCTAATAGTTAATAGGATTTAAAGTATGAGGTCCAATGTTTGGTCTAGGAAGAGCTATAAATTGAGTTATATTTTGCATTGTGCTTATCAAGAGGGAAAAGAAAAAAACATTTTATGAGATTGTTCTCAAACCAGTATTGCATAGTTTCTTATTGGAACTTTAATGTGCAAGTTTTGGTGTTTCTTGATCTGCAAAAGATGATTGAGCTATAATTTTTGCTTAATCATTGCCATTTCAGGTGGAAATAGTGCTACTGGAGCAATTGCTGGAGGTGTAGCTGCTGGTGCTGCCTTTATGAATAGCTTTTCTTAAGATCACCACTTCCTCAACCAATGGTGGCTGGTGGGGATCAGCTTGTTAGTTTGAATTCTCTAGTATCCTTGAATTTTTTGTGCTGATAAGTCCATTTTTTATGATGTTAAGCACTGGAAAATACTATCACACCATTCTCGTTCATCTTATATGGTCTTCACTTTGTATTCCACTTGATACAGTGAAGAGCACCTAACCACCTTGGAAGGGGACTTGCTTAGGTGCAGGGTTGGATGCTTGTTCAGTTTAATGGCGAGGGATAGCATAAGTTTTTTGTGTCATGTTTGAGGCGCATGTTAAGCAACTGCTTATGATTTGTGTTCCATCTCTTGAATCAGAACTGATCTTGTGGCTGCCATGTCTGTTACGTGATGCTGATTTTTTTTCTGTGAATTAGGCACATCCGTGAATTAGTTTTTTTGTGTCATGTTAAGAAACTGCTTATGATTTGTGTTCCTTTATCAGGCACCTCTTCTGGAGGTATGTATACTAATTATGAAAATAAGAAAAATATTATTATTACTGCCATTTGCACACTTAGATTTGTGCAAGTGCAAATTCAATATTGCAGTGAGTTTATGAGCTTTCAATTAGAGCAAAAATTGATAGAAAATTCATTCAAATAGAATCATCATTCAACATTGTAAGGAATGGTCATTCTAATGGGATGCTAAGTAATGATTATTCCAATCCATTCTACCTTCATATTCTATTCTTAAGCTACTATTGAAACTAAAGTTTCAATTGATCAAATGCTTTTGTAGTTTGTGATATTAGTTGAAAAGTCCCCATTAACAACTGAGATTCGGATTGCAGGCCCATTGGCTATGCTGCTATTTGCATCAGTAACCTTGTTTCTGCCTTCTCTCTGTGCCACTGTTACAGATCACCCGGTCCAGGGCCCAAGAGAAATCCCTCCTACCTAGAAGCTGTTCGGACAATTTTAGGTAAGAGTTCTAAGTTAGTTAAAAAAACGATCATCACATCATATCCCTTTTTAAGGAAAGCAATTCTCTTGATATTCCATTTTTCAGCAACAACTCAAATCTTTATTTTATGAAAAGTTGGTGATTAGTGTATTATTTTACTCATTGATAGGCAATTCTTCAGAAATTAATTGATCGCGAAGGTTGAAACAGCTGAAGGGATTCATTGATGGTGTTACTAGCCCGACCAGGCATTGGCTCCTGCCTCAAATTTGTCAAATTTGTTTGGGAGACTTCAAGAGCAGAGATGGTCTAACCAATGGCTTCTGGTGCTGACCTAAATACCATCCTAAATGAGGGAGATTCTCTTAACTGCTAACATTTGTAATGTTTTTTTTCATTCTTTTTGTCCATTTATTGAAGTTTCACACAAGCTCCAACAGTTGGGTTGGATTCCTGAGCTTATTTTGTCCAGGTTAGGATTCTCTAGAAATACTTGCATAGTACAGATGACCCCATAAGGCTAGATTGACTTGTGTACAATGAGTGAATAGTGCATCATTGGATCGAAAATTCTCTACTCGTGTCTTGGTGTAGTGATGCAGTGCGAACAAAGGAAACACTTAAAACTATGCAAGAGCAAGTGAGAGGATTTTTGGAAGCTGAGGTACATTTCATTTCACGCTTTTATTCAATTGCAGCAATGGATGGACAACACACACAGCTGAGCACCTTCAACATGCCATCTGTAAATTTTCAAGGGACGAGATACTTACAGTTATGTGAGTTCTGCTGACTGTAACAGCTTGTTTGGAGTTCCATTTAATAGGTGAGGTATTTGTGTGTATTAAGGGTGCATCTTAATGGCAAATGGAAAAGAACTCTGGGTGTGTTTACATAGTATGTCAAATGAATTCACTAAACTTGTATAGTTTTTGTAATTAGTCTAATTAGCTGTGATTTTAAATTTTTATTAAATTGACATTTCCATATATGGTTTATTTTTTCAATAGCAACAATCATCTCCATGGGACCTCTGATGACCCTTGTCATGTCTTGACAATAGATGTCTTTTCAATAACAATCTAATTTATTTAGTTTTAGAATGTACTTGTGCAGGAAGCAAGTAAGACTATACAGGTGTAGATACTTATTCTCACTTGTTTTTTCCTTTGTTTTTTCTTATCTCTGTCTTATTAGTTTTTTTTTCTCACATAATTTATATAAGAATATATAAAAAAGTTCATTAAGAATTTTGACAGAAAGTTAAATGTGCAGGTGTATGGGACATAACAGAGGATGGGGAGGAGGCAGCCTCAATGTTCTCAGGCACCTCCATAGAAGCTGAAGACTTGCAATGCTGCTTTGCTTGAAGCTACTGGGAAATCGTGGGAAGATTGGGTAGGGAAATCTCACTGTTGTATACCTAAGCACACAGTTATTACTAGAGATGGTTTATTGATGAGAATGAAGACTGCTCAGTGGAAGAAGGTTATTGATCTAAATCTCACTGGTGTATACCTATGCACACAGGCATGTAGATTTTAAGCTCAGTTTGGCAGTCATAGCTTTCCTCTTAGTTGGATCTAAGCAGCTTTTTTACTATTCTTTGCAGGCTGCAGCCAAAATTATGATGAAAAAGAAAAAGGTATTCCTTTCTCAGAGGGCTCAATTTTATTTATATTAAAAATGGATTCAAGTATTAGAGCAGTGAAGCATTGGTGCAGACAGATCTTGAAAGGTCTTCTCTATTTCCATAGCCATGACCCACCAGTCATCCACAGAGATCTCAAGTATGACAACATTTTATACAATGGCACCAAGGAGAAGTTGAATATCTTTTAATACCTGTCAAAATGCTGATACTTACTATTTTGCATGTTAAACAAAAAATTTACATGCTTGTGCAGTCATACTTTGGTGCAAATGTTTTACATCCCCGAACCATCATTCCAGTGATGCAATATGACATTCCAATTGTTATAAGAAATGTCTTCATTTTGGGGTACCATGAAGCTAATTACTGCTGATGAACTGATGGATGATGGAGAGTATGAGGAAATTTTAGAGGACATGAGGGAAGAAGGGGAGAAATTTGGTGAGTGTTTCATCCCATAATAGTTGCTGTTGTTGTTTTAAATTGTGTGTACACTCTAATGTATGCCTCCATTAAACAATCATCTCTATGAATTAAAAAGAAATAAAATGATTTGGACATGTGTTATACAAAAGTGCTTAGACAAGGACCGATTACACCATCTTGTTATGTAGACATTGCATTCATAGCAAAAGATGTGAGTCCACAATCCCACTAGTCATAATATTATTTTAAAATAGAACATATTATTTAAATGTTCTTTCATATTTGGATTGCTTTCTTCAGGCAATAAGAGCAATATAGAGGCAGTAAAATGTGAATGAAGAAGGAAGAGTGCTTCCAGATTGCAGAAATGCATCAAACCCTCATCAATGTAGTGACTATTGCTTTAGAGTAATTGCTGAAGCTAAGGCACTGATGGATAAAAATGAACTAGGTAACTTACTGCTTTTTTTTTTTCTTTTTTGCTTTTTGTACATGGGTGGGTGCTCTCTTGTTGCCTTCTTTAATCAATATTAATTTTTTAAGTTTACTGAAGAAAGGTTGCTTTAGTTTCCTATTTGCTACAAACTTTGTTACCATATCTTCTTGGAAGAGAACTTTTTAGTTTGGTGGATAAAATGAAAGAATAATTGTTTTGCATGGTCAAATAAACAGCATAATACAGTGTTGAATTATTGGTATAGTACATATCTTAGTATATGTCTGCATTCTCATGGTTCAAGCTATTTTACATATATTGTGCTTGGAAGGCTGGAAATAGATATTGTTTGAAAACTTCTTTAATTCTCCAATATAAAGATAAGCTTAAGTTACCTTCTTTCTTTTTTTCCCCACCTTCTTTGAACCATTCAACATTGACATTTGATACCTTATATGTATGTACTGAAATACATTGCCTTGCTTGAACAATTTTTAATCAGAAAAACATTGTACAATGCATACAAGAAATGGTCAAAGAACATTGAGATTGACATCGAAGAGTACAATAAAATGAAAGAAGCTGATCCAGAATTCTACAGAGAAGCTTCAAGCCTCCAATATGGAAAGGTAAGTGTTTTAATTAAGGAAATTATGTGTTTTAAAATGACCGTAATGAACATTTCAATAAGAAGATTGAGTGAGCCTTTGGGAGATACACGCTGGAGATGAAGAATAACCTTGACAGAGGAACTGCTTTATCCAAGTTTTAACTCTATGGTTAGGAATGATGAGTGAACTAAAATTAAAAAGCTGAATCTAGGAAACAATAGAACTAATTTTGATTTTCTATTGTGCTCAATTGTGCTCCTATGTTTATTATCATCACAATTTGTTGATTCCTGTTGCTTTTAGGGCTTAATTTGTCAGCCTTTTGTTTTTTTTTTTTTGCAGGTTTACACTTCTGTAACCAAGCATTACATTCTAAAAGGGGAGAAACAGCTGCTACTCCCAAAATTCTTCTTCCATTTTTAAAAGGAACAACGGAGAAGCCAATCACAGCCACAATCTGAG